TGTTAACTTTTTTTGATATCTAATTAACTGTCAGTATACATTTACAACCGTCTAGAAAGGAAATACCAGTTTATGCTAACGCTTCATTACTAGTCAGCTTCATCAGTCATAATTAAGTTAATGTCCAGTCATTACCGTGTTGTGATTGTAAATAATTGATCATTTATCATTATAAGAACTCATATGACAACTAAATGCATTGAGTTTCATTACTGAAATTTGAGGTTTTTCTAGCAATTATTGATATATTTACCGGGTATTCTTCGTTTGATTTTTATTTGAATCGGAAGTTCCTTAATATCTTGTCCTCTCCAATTAGATTCCTGTCATCCATGAATTTGACAATGAACATTTTAAGACAAGCATTATGTTATGAACCATCAGTAGAAGGCTATAGCTAATAGAGAATTTTCTTGAAATTCTGAAAAAACAAAAACAAGATTCAGTTACAGAGTATCAGATTTAATCATCAACAAATGTAAAATTACGCCATGACATAATCCAACAATCAGTCAGAAACATTGATTTAATATCACTATAGAAACACTGGCTCCTGTTGCTATAAAATACATGGTTTAAATTACATTATTAGTTTGTTATAGCAAGGCCGCTTCTAAAACATTACGAGTTTCTACAGGTAATTTAGTTGAAATAAAATACATGTATTGGTTATGTAGATATAAACTAAAACGGGGGGAGAAAAAGGAAAAAAATGTATTTTTTTCCCACAATATTTAATCCAGAATTGTTTAAGCCTTAACATTGTTTAGTTAGACAATGACATCAGGAAGCCAATCTATTTTATAAATTTTGGAGGTTTGGGTCAAATATTGTGAAAATTTATAAAATTCCATATATCCATAATATATATAAAATACTATACTGCTTTCCAATGGAAATTACAATCATCCATGATGTATACATACATCATCTGGTATAAGACTAGTCATGTACTTATAAAAATTATAATGAAAATTAATAGCAATGTTTATGGTTTAACAGCTTTTGAAAAAAAATGAATGTATATATATATATATATAATTTCAAAAACAAAATGAAGAACCGGTACAGTTTTGCTGGGTGTATTAAAAATAAAAATCCAAAAAATCACAAAATATTTTCTGCAAGCGCTTTCGCCATGTTAGGCTCTTCAGGCAGTTATACAAATGTCAGGTAGGTTACCTGGTAACGTCCAAAAGCAAAAGTTCATTGTGACGTCATAATAGATCAAGGTAGCGTAAAGTTGCCGTATTAGATAATGTACAAATATTGCATTAACTTGAACACATAATATGCATAAAATCTTACAATATGTTATATAATAATGTATCATTTTCGATTAAGCTTTGGTTTAAAGAGTTTGATAAAGTAGTCCTCTTTTGCCAAACGTAGATTTTCATTTTCATTGGGAAGTTTATAAAAAGGGAAAATCTTAAATATTCCTTTGCCGCATTTTGCAAAATGTTCACAACATGGTGTATTACGCACACTAGGGTCTTTAATTTGTTGCTTGTGTACACGAACCCGGGCATTTAGTTTCCCCGTTTGTCCAATATAGAATTCTTTGCATGTCGGACAGATTGCACAGTAGATAACGTTTTCGGATTTACAGTTCATTGGTGAATTGGTTCTAATTTCCATTCCTGATTTAAGTTGGATTCTATTTCCCTCTTCTAAATATGTACACGTTCCGCATCTTGGATCTCCGCATTTTTTAATGGTTGGAATTTCCTCCTGTGTAGTAAAACGGGCCTTGGTTAACAATTTTTTTAAGATTGGGTGCCTGTCGTCGACTATTGATAATATCATTTGGTTGTATTAAACTTTTCATATTTTCCGATTGTTCTAAAATTGGGTAGAATCTTTTAGCGTCCATAAGGATATTTCTGTTTCGTGGGTTATGGGTCACAACAAAGGCTATTTTCCCGTCATCGGTGGTGTCATCTACACGACGTGGATTTCTAAGGTTCTCTATTGGAATTTTGGACGCCTTGTCTATTCCAGCGTTGATTAAATCAATTGGATAGTTTTGTCGTCGTAGATATATTTTTAATTCCTCCAAACGTCTAGAACGCAGGGTTCTATCTGTAATAATTGTACAAATTCTTCGTGCTAAATTAAACGGGATATTACGTTTTGTGTGAGATGGATGGCACGATCTAAAATCCAAATACTGATGCGTGTCCGTAGGTTTACAGTATAAGTCTGTAGTTATACAGGATCCATTCTTTATAATAAGAAGATCTAAAAATGGAAGTTCCGCACGACTTTTTTCTATTGTAAATTGTATAGAATCATGGAGGTTATTAAGAAGTGAATGGAATTTATTTAATTCTTCTTCACTCTTGGTCCAAAATATGAAGCAGTCGTCTAGGCAACGTTTCCAATTATTTCTAATATAGTTACCAAAGTCGTCATCAAAGAGTTCCGGTATTTTCCCATATAATTGATCCTCTAAGTATCCCATCACCAAGGTTGCATATGAAGGAGCAACTTTTGTCCCCATATATATATATATATATATATATATATATATATATATATATATATATATATATATATATATATATATATACACGCCAATCTGATTAAAATCAGATCTTTGTTTCGCTCCGAAATTCTGATGGTCGCTGTACAAAGATCTGAAGACATCCCATTGAGCTGGCCGCTGGCAGATTCTTTGGATGTGCTTTACGCGAAACATTCCGAAGTAAACGAGTTCCGAAAATACGCAATGACGGCGCCCATGACATTGTTGAAAATTTTCATCTGAGCAACATTTGCGTTGTTTATTGATCGATATGGATGCAAACAAATATAAACAGTGAAGGAAAAGTGACCATACGGAAGATTTTACCTATACGCAGCTTAAATTAACACCCGAAAGGAAAATTCTATTTTGGAACGTTTGTATTAGATGTGCAATGTGTATGTGTGTGCGTTTTTCCCCCGACTCTGAAAATTTGCCGAAAGTTTGAGATGGTCATGATTCAAAAACAATGCTAGAAAACTTCAAATCAAGTGTCAGATCTACGATGGAAATGTAAGTTTAATGTTGAGATTTTTGTTTTGTATGAGTTACGACTACAGAGTTCACACAATGATCTAAACAGCTACTAAAGCTTGCATTTACATCATTTAAATCATCTCGATTGTCTTGATGATTAAATACACGTACTTCCTATTATAATGACACAACAGTCAACCCTAAAGAAAAAAAAACTTGATGACAAAAAAAAATATATGTGCAACGTTTTATTTTTTTTTTACTTCTGTTTTTGTAATTCTTACCCCATTCTCAGTCTTTGATTAATCTCATCCTAACAAATTCAAGTAGAAAGTACTTTAAACTTAAATATTTTTTGTTTAATTCATGTTTGTTATTATTAATGTTGTAGGTGACACATTAGCTGAGTCAATCACCCTGCCTACAAGATTTTTTGCAAGGATGGGAAGGTTTGTGGTGCACATACTATAACATGTTATAAATTTTCACATACACATACTTATGAATTGTAAAATCTTAAAATTGATATATCAATTAGGCCATTCCAACCAAAAGAATCAATTTCAGAACTCCTGATTTTGTTCCCCCCCCCCCCCCGTTCTGTGGAGTTCAAACAAACACACACACACTTAAAAAATGGCCTTTAATACTTTTATCTGACTCATTGACAAGATATTAAGTAAAGAGCAAGAGTCACTTTTTTGGCCCTGAGAATTTCTGAAAAATCAAAACTGCTCAGTTTTGGTTGAAAATGCTGTATTTATAACTTGGACCCTTGGTGACCGTGTATCTATTGAACATGACGTAATTTTCTTTCTAGTCAAAGCATTATGAGGTCATAAAATGTGTCATTTTCCCCATATCCTGTAAATTCCGTTAAAAATGGCCAAAAGTTGAGGTATTGTTTTTTCTATATTTTATACAGAGCACAGCCTTTGATCCGAAAAATATAATTACATAATGAAAGATCTATTTTGGAAGATCACAAAACATGTTTTAATTTTTGGATTGTGGGCTGGGCTCATATTTCAATTCTTTGCTGAAGATAGTCAAATACGTATGTTTTCTGCAAAATTCAAGAACATTGCATTTTCTCAAAGATTGTTTTCCAATACCTGGATTCTCAAAAAGAAATTTTGTTATAGGAAATGAAAGCACTAAGTCTCTAGTCTATTTTATTTTGATGTATGAAATGGGACAGAGGGTGATAGTCATTTAATTGATATAAGGACAGGGCCATTTTATGAATAAAGTGAACCTAGCTCTTTGTATTCTTTTAGCCTCCACAGTGACTATGTTACCACTATTCTGTCATGATAGTTTTATGATGTCCCTGTAAATTATAAGTCAGGAAATGACCCAAGAAAATAAAAGCAGCAAAATGATATATTCTATTTTTGCCTCATCTCCATCCATCATTTTCACATCCTTGAGGCACATTTAAGTATTTAAAACATGGATGCTGGTGGGGCATTTGTATCACACCCACACTTTTAGTTAATTATCATGCTAATTGAGTGTAAGGTTATGTTACTAAATTAACCTGCAAATTTGAATACATGTACATGCTGAATGTTCCTTGAAATAATGTAGAATGTATATATTTTTTAGGTGACTGACACTGTGCATTATTTTTGTGGAGAAAAGTCTGCCATGTTAACCTCTGCTTTCCAAAATACTGAATACATTGCCATTGTGGGAAATGAAAACACAGTATCCTCTATTTCCTGTATCAGTGGTCTAGATCTGGTTCAAGACAAAAGTAGAAAAGCTGAGTCAGAAAAGACGGCATTTCTTCCTATGAAAAAAAGGAATATAAAGACAAAATGATCTTTACTTTGAACCAGTAAAAAATATGTATGCCCTCATTGTCCTGAAATTTTGAATGTGTTTTCATTAGCTGTCTCTGATTAAAATGAAAAAAAAAATCATCAAACTGGTGTCAGCAGCCATTATTGTCCTGCATTTTATAATAAATAAGTAATGATAAACATAATTCATAGAACTTTTTATTACAATTATATATTTCAAGAAAAAGCAAATTGTATACTTTCTTATATTGCATACTTGTCTCTCTAGTTTCCATTGGATATGTTTGATGATTGTAGAATGTATTCTAAACAATGAATGTTCATTGATGCAAGTCTGTTTTAGAACAAATTGGAGTTTCTTGAGAATAAACAACTTCAACTTTTTACTACTGTCTAACTTTTTACTACTGTCTATAGATACACTTTGATTGGTATGACAATAGTTCTTCTGACAGTCCACCAAGCTTAAAATGGGGGGGGGGGGTGCGCACAATACAAGTATAACAACTTTCTTGTTCATCGTCTTCCTAGGTATGTGAGAACACTGGAATAATCTTCGAGTCCAGAAATGGTTTTGAATATTAATGGGTTTAGTTTGAAAAACCAGAGTCAGACAGGGTCTATCATCATTTTCGCTGCTCCCTGAAACAATGAAAAACAAGTAAATGATGGGGGTTGAAATGGATGCTACAAATATTATTTTCAATTAACAACAGCAACAACTATTTTTATTTGTAATCAGAAATAAGTATAAAATCTTTAGTGTCTTTTATGCCATGTTTGTTTAACTGTAAATATTAATAGAAACAGAGGTGAATAATTTAAGCTGCAGGAAGGGATAATTTCTTGGTATTATATTAGAAAGTAACGTGGAAAGGATTTGTTCGATGGAGCTGTGTTGCAGGAAATCTTAAAGAATTTTGAACGTAGTACGTAAGTTTAATTAGAAAGAGCTCTGACATGTTGTGTATGTTAAACAATGAAAGTTCAAAAATGATTTGATGGGCTGGGGGGGGGGGTTAGATATTTTGGGAAGGGGGCTGCAATTTTTATTGACTGACAGGCCCTTTGGGACAGTGGTGCAAAAAAGGCTTATGGTGGTAATGTATACACACCAGACAAAGAATGAATACATGTGAGATCAGAGAAAAACTATAAAAATAAGATTGAACTACAAATCAAGTATCATAATTGATGAAATTGAATCAGAAAAAACTTTGATCATAATATTTTCTTTTCAATGCTTCATTTAATGTGTGTAAAATACCCGATTTTTTTTTTTTTATGAAAATGCTAGTGCAAATTTATGCAACTTGTACGCTTGTGTCAACATTCACTTTATTTTTAAAATGCATTAATTTATGTTCATTACACTTGTGACTGCCTTTGACATCGGACAATCCCTTAGATACAGGTAAAGCCCGTAGATCGATTTATGTTATTTAAAAAAATTCGTGTGAGATTTTCTAGATTGACTTTTATCATTACCTCGATAAAATATTTTGTTGACCTGTCAACTGTCATGGTGCTCCGTCTTGAGTATCACAACGGGACAACACGCCATGGACTTGCAACATCTGAGAGAGTGACATCACATAACCAATCGGAAGAAGAATTCTGCATTTCTGCTTGTACTTCAAACATAATTAACTCGCTATTTCATTTCATACAAAGAACCGATCTGCATTTCATCCACTTCATTCTTATTTCGCCATGTTTACACTATGACCATACCCCTTATATATCCCGATCATTGATTGGCGGAAGACGTAAATTTTCATTGGCTAGTATAAGGTCGTGAACTTTATTCAAAGTTCATTCTGAGGTGACCCTCAATGGGATGTCTTCAGATCTTTGTACAGCGACCATCAGAATTTCGGAGCGTAACAAAGATCTGATTTTAATCAGATTGATATACACGCACACAAATAAATAAATTCAGCTTTTGGATAACTTTTTAAATACAATTCTTTTAAATACCACCTCTTCTTCCAAAGGCATATTCATGTACAGTCATGTATAAATTAAGGTATATTAGACAAGTTACTTTTTATTAACAGCTGCAGTTAGATTATCACAGGGGTTTTATATGTAAAACACAAATGTAGTAAGAGTTGTCGTATACACTAAACACAAACTTTGTAAGAGTTACATGTGGACGGAATTTTAACAGTAATCTCAGTAAGAGAAAAAATAAAACAAAAATTTAATAAATAAATAAATGAACAAGAAAATATATACAAAATAACACCTCTTATTTAAAAAAAATACATTTCCAATCAAAGAAAATTATGTAAAATTAAACCCTGTAAAATCACAAATTCATTGCAAGTACAAACTGTTGGTATGGAATGTTGATTACTTCAAAGGCATTATAAAATATTACGTATATTTATTGACTATTCAATATGGAGACTTCTCTATAGAAATCTATAATCTATGCAATCAGAGATCATAGTAAGCTATTCTAAATATTAAATGGCTGAAAATTCTTGAATAATCATGGAATGACTAGGGAAGGTAATGTATGCATTCTTGATTAGGCATTATACAATATGTAGAACAGTAAAATCACTTATTTTTGTGGGGGTCAAATTTTTGTTGTTTGAGAAAATTCTTTTTTAGATTGCTGGGATTTGATTTCATAGTCATAGAAGAAAAGATACTGGAGTTGTATTTTTTTTTAGAGGACATGAATTTATCAGTCTCTTAATGCCAAAAAAAAACCAACAAAAATTAACCCCCACTAATATTTATAGAGATTTTACAGTATGTTGGGTATGAACTTATCATTATTATAGTGGCATATTTATGCCATCCACATAATCTTTTGTCAACATAGCATATCATGTCAAGTCAAGATAATTATCTCACTAAGTCATGATAACTTCTTGGTTTGTCGACAAACACCGATTTTATATCTTGTCCAGTCGAGATAAACTATCCTATTTTTGCGATAGCTATTTTATTCATGATGCAAGATAAGTTGTCTCGTCATGTCAAGATAGCTAACGCAACAAATGTGATAGCTTATCTTGACTAGACAAGATATAAAGTCGGTGTTTGTCGACAAACCAGGAAGTTATAATGACTTAGCAAGACAGTTATCTTGACTTGACATGATATGCTATGTTGACAAAAAATTATGTGGATGGCATAAATATGCCACCGTACATTATACATCTTATTAAATACATGTATATTGAATACCACAGATTGCTGAGTTAAGATGTATTTTTGATCAGAGATGTAACATTAAGCTACTGATGAAACCTTTAACAATTATTAATACAATATTAAAAACAGTCATGGATACAATGAAATATTGGTTAAAAATTGCATGATATAGTCATGTACGAATTGTTAATTAAAATCTATTTACTCACAAAAGGGAAAAAACTTTCCCCTGGTCAGCTTTATACACAATTTGGGATTAAAATTCACTTTTTTGGCTTTTCTCAGATCAACACAGCTCCTCGTCCTTATTTCTTCATTATAAAAACCTGTATTATCTAAATTCAGAAATAATTGAAGATAATATTTCAGAAAAGCTGAATCTCTAAGGGTCTCTCAAGTCACTGTTTGAGCCTTTGACACTGTTGTACATTTGCATGCAGTTTTACAATATGGATTTTTCAAAAAATAAGATGACAAAGTCGAGAGAATTTTGATACGAACTGTAATTATCATTCTCCACGAAATACAAAATAAAGGAATGGGAGATGTGATACATTTCTGTACTGACTTCAGAAAATCTGACAGAGTCCTACAGGTCCCTACAAAAATTTAGCTAGCTCATAAACAGCTAGATCATTACAAGGTTTTTCTGATATTGTAGAAATTGTTGGAATAAAATTTCAATTAATTCTGGTTATCTCCAACTCAATGGGATCAAGAGAAAACTAAGATATCATATCATAGGGTTCAAGATATTGAGTGTAAAACACATGAAAAGTGGTTGGGACTTCCAAATGACTTTGACATATCCATGTTACATGTATTTGAGATATCTATGTTCAAGATACCAAAGTTAAAATCAACTGCATATAGTTAGATATGTAATGTACATTTTGTATTTGAAATTTCAAGTGATACAAAAACAGTCACTCACCTCTTTTGAAATTACTAAGAAAAAAATCTCTTTAAATACACAGCATTGAATCAAACTTTAAAAAGAAAACAAACGAAAACTGAACTATAGCTTCAAGCATTTTTGTCTGTTAATTCATACAACATCACAGTGAAAGTTTCCCTGCTTTAATACTATAATGCCATGAATAATAATACTTATAAAACTTTAAAATTCATTGTAATATGTTGGTATTTTATTGTTTCATTAACATGATACTTAAGAACAATAATCTGTGAAGTCTCCACAAAAAAAAAATGGTTTTATTTGCAAACACAATTTTCTTCACTGGAAAAAAAAAGCTTGAAATAAATCATCGAAAAAGAAAACTATCAAAATATTATTCCAACATCTAATGCACAATCATTAAACTCATTCCATTTGAGCAACATTGTAAACCTGATTACTTCATATCCTAGTATTTTCCTATTTTTAATCACATGAAAAAAAATTAAAAAATCATAGTTATAAGAGAATTTAACAAAATGTTTAATCCGATTCGGACAATTGGCCACTTCGTCGTCTTTTAAAAACCCTCTTTTTAGAACGCCTTTCATCTTCTGTACTGCTTTCTACCCGAAGGAGGGATTTCTTTGACCGCAGTCTTCTAGGCATGTCAGAATCGGAATCACTTGCCTGCATATTGGACGACCTCGATCTCCTGGGCGTACTAAGTATATCATACGAATCCGGAACTTGGGGACGTGCATTATCTTCACTGTCAAAGGAATCATCAGACAAATTACTTTGTGATGTCTTGCGACGTTGTAAAAACAGATTTTTGGGAGTTGAGTCTGGACCCCCCATTATTGGGGACTTGGTCTGTCGGGGAGACAAATTTGAAGCAGGGCTGGGCATATCTTTCCAAGCCTCACTTTCTGGTTTGGCGTTATTTTGTTGATCCAAGTTTATAATTTTTTCCTCCTCTTGCTGCTTTTTCTTCTTCTTTTCATTTTTATGTTTCTTCTTCTTCATCTTCTCTTTCTTCACTTGATCTTCCTCAACAACATCCTTCAAAATTACCCAAAAAATTAAGGATCTTGGACTTGTATTAAGAAATATGTGACATGTTTCATAAAACCTTTTCCACATGAATGCTACAAATGCTTAAACAGATATTACAAATACTTATTATGTATATGAAAAAACTTGACCTTGACAAAATGAAAGTGAAAGTAAATCCCAAAAACATGACCTTGACAAACTGAAAGGAAAAGTAAATCCCCCTGACCTCCTTTGTTTCTTCTTCGGGTTTTTGCTCCTCTTTCTCCTCCAACTTTTTAGCATAGTCAAGAACAGCTTCAGTCTTAGGCCAACCACTGGGCTCCAGGGGACAAGACTCTAGTGTTGTCTCTCGGGCCATTTTGACTGTCTGTGTGGCACTTAAAGTCTGATTAAAAGAACTGCCTCCGTGGTCAGCGGTCAGTTCCTCCTCTACCAATTTAAACAGCTCTTCAACCCTGAAATGGATAAAGGACTTAATTCTTTTAACTATACCTTTCTTTTTGATATTTTACTTTATACACAAACTTCACTTACCACTTTTGTACATGTAGACAGTTTAGATTCTGTTGAATTTTACCGTTTCTGTAGGTTGGATTCTGTTGAATCTCTATGTATGGATTTAATTTGTCTTAGGAAGCTGACTTAAATATCATTTTTGTAGTTTAGATTCTGTTGAATCTCTATGCTCTGATTTAATTCATCTGAAGAAGCTGACTTACTGTTTTTGTAGTTTAGATTCTGTTGAATCTTTATGTTCTGACCTAATTCGTCTTAGGAAGCTGACTTATATACGGTTTTTTTTTACTTTGGATTCTGTGGAATCGGACTTAATTCGTCTGAGATAGTCAACTTACCGTTTTAATAGTTTAGATTCTGTTGAATCTCTATGCTCTGATTTAACTCGTCTGAGGTAGTTGGCCATTTCCTCTTTCTCAAAGAGTTGTAGAAATTCCAGGTGTCTCTGAGTGAACTGCACACCTGAGATGTACACAAGATATTTATTTTAAAAAAGAAATAGAAATAGAAATTTAAAGAACATATTATTCCACTTGTTATGAACTCCTTTCACTATCAATGCACTTTTTTGTATAATTATGGATTTCCAATTTTATATTTATAAACTTCATATTCTAACTAAAGTTTCCTAGCACATAGCTAGACTCATAAACTTCTGTAAGAACTTAGCCCAGATGGATTTTAGAATTTCAATTTCTTTTCAAATTATGCTGTATGTTGCTTTCAAGATTTTTAAGATAGAAATATCTCCCGCAGGGAATTTCCAACTTATCTGTGTACATAACAGAGAAATTCTTCTATATTTACTCTAAAAATTCCACTTTTTAGACATCTTATGACATTATACTATTTCTTTCTCAATCTCTTGATCCTTAAATTTGCCTTTGATCCCCCTTTTTCCCTCCCTCCTCCTAAACTTTCCCCTTTTCCACCATGAAAAATTTGCCAGGTTCCCTTTTTCTATCATGAAAGATTTCCATTTTTCCCTTTTCTTAGAATTCTATCCTGAAAGATTTGCCAGTTTTCCCTT